TACTGAGCCAGCCAGAGAATTGTTACTTAGGGCCACAGAAACTTTTACTTAGGGCCACAGAATTGTTACTCGCACAGACACAGAATTGTTACTCGCACAGACACAGAATTGTTACTGAGGGCCACAGAACTTGTTACTCAGGGGCCACAGAATTGTTACTCGCAGGGACACAGAATTGTTACTCGCAGGGACAGACACAGAACTGTTACTGAGGCCACAGAAATTGTTACTCAGGGACAGACAGAATTGTTACTCAGGGGCCACAGAATTGTTACTGTGGACACAGAATTGTTACTCGCACAGACACAGAATTGTTACTCAGGCCACAGAAATTGTTACTTAGGGACAAAGAAACGCTAGTTACTGGGCCACAGAATTCATACTCAGGGACAGACAGAATTGTTACTGAGTGCCAGAGAATTGTTACTCTGGGCACAGAAAAATTTACTTAGGGCCACAGAATTTTTACTCAGGGACAGACAGAATTGTTACTGAGTGCCAGAGAATTGTTACTCAGGGACAGACAGAATTGTTACGGAGTGCCAGAGAATTGTTACTCAGGGCCACAGAAACTTTACTTAGGGCCACAGAATTTTTACTCAGGGACAGACAGAATTGTTACTGAGTGCCAGAGAATTGTTACTCAGGGACAGACAGAATTGTTACTGAGTGCCAGAGAGAATTGTTACTTAGGGCCACAGAAACTTTTACTTAGGGCCACAGAATTGACTTGTTACTCGCACAGACACAGAATTGTTACTCGCACAGACACAGAAACTGTTACTGAGGGCCACAGAAAATTTTACTAGGGGACAAAGAGAAACGCTACTTAGTTGGGCCACAGAGAAATTCATACTCAGGGACAGACAGAATTTTTTACGGAGTGCCAGAAATTGTTACTCTGGGCCACAGAAACTTTACTTAGGGCCACAGAATTTTTACTCAGGGACAGACAGAATTGTTACGGAGTGCCAGAGAATTGTTACTCAGGGACAGACAGAATTGTTACTGAGTGCCAGAGAATTGTTACTTAGGGCCACAGAAACTTTAATACTAGGGCCACAGAATTTTTACTCAGGGACAGACAGAATTGTTACTCTGAGTGCCAGAGAATTGTTACTCAGGGACAGACAGAATTGTTACCGAGTGCCAGAGAATTGTTACTCAGGGACAGACAGAATTGTTACTGAGTGCCAGAGAATTGTTACTTAGGGCCACAGAAACTTTTAATTAGGGCCACAGAATTTTTACTCAGGGACAGACAGAATTGTTACTGAGTGCCAGAGAATTGTTACTCAGGGACAGACAGAATTGTTACGGAGTGAGCCAGTGCCAGAGAATTGTTACTCAGGGGGCCACAGAAAACTTTACTTAGGGCCAGAGAATTTTTTACTCAGGGACAGACAGAATTGTTACTGAGTGCCAGAGAATTGTTACTCAGGGACAGACAGAAATTGTTACTGAGTGCCAGAGAATTGTTACTCAGGGCCCAGAAACTTTACTTAGGGCCACAGAATTTTTACTCAGGGACAGGGACAGACAGAATTGTTACTGAGTGCCAGAATTGTTACTCAGGGACAGACAGAATTGTTACTGAGTGCCAGAGAATTGTTACTTAGGGCCACAGAAACTTTACTTAGGGCCACAGAATTGTTTACTCGCACAGACACAGAATTGTTACTCGCACAGACACAGAATTGTTACTGAGGGCCACAGAACTGTTACTTGGGGCCACAGAAACGTTAATCAGGGACACAGAATTGTTACTGAGGGCCACAGAACTGTTACTTAGGGCACAGAATTGTTACTCGCACAGACACAGAATTGTTACTCAGGGACACAGAATTGTTACTCAGGGACACATAATCGTTTAATTAAAGAGTATGTCAGACAACATGCAGAGGAGTGGCAGAGGAGGCAATGTTTTAGGAGCGAGCAGACGTGTGGCAGCAGAGGAAGGGGTCGAGGCAGCACTATTCGCAGCCAGAGGCCAGTGCTCCCGGTGTCATCCAGCGGTCGTGTCTCCACCGACAACCCTGCCGTCGTCGATTGGTTGGCTTCGGTCGTCTTCCTCTTCCCAGGTCACCTCTGACACCTACAGCCAACGGTCGGTGGGTACGTCAGACACAACCGTTAGTTGGCATGGCCCGGGACCAAGCCCACTGAAATCACGTGTCCTCTACCTGCCCCTGTCCTTTGGTGTTCCCTCACCAAGCGAAGTATCGCATGCTGTGGGCTCAGCCCCACTGTACAGTGAGGAAGAGCTAACAGAGGAGGCGGTCAGGAACGGGGGGAGACATCCGCCTTTTCAGCAGCTAGGCGAAGAAGTAGTGGCGAGGAGAGTGGCCCGGTAGTAGCCGGTCTAGAGACAGGTCTGTCTCCTGACCCAGACGCAGCCGAGGGGGCTAGTAGTGAGGCGGAGACCCTACTTGATGATGAGGAGGTTGATCGCACTTGGCAGCCTCGTCGTCATCAGGCAATTTCTTCCGCATCATCAGGAGAAGAGGGTGGCAGCTTGGCAGTGAGCGAAACAGTCGGTGGGTTGCCCAGGAGACAGCAGCAGGGTCGCAGCTGCAGTGTCAGTGGAAGCAGTGTCAGTGGAGCCAAACGGCCACGGAGTAGAGCACCAGCTCCACTGCAGCCTACCACCACGGCCAGTAGTGGTGCCGGTGTGCACGGAGGAGGAAGCAGCAGTCAGCCAGTGAGAGAGTATCGGGGGCAAAGTTTCCTACTCGGCGGTGTGGCAATTTTTTCGTCAAGCCGCCCGAGGAAGTAAACGTAGCCGTATGTCGACTATGTGGCCAGAAAGTCAAGCGTGGCCAGGGGGGCCCATGTTGGGACTATTTGGGCCATGTTGGGACAATGGGGGAGACCTCCCATTGCTGCTGTCTCCATCGCCACACTCTGCCATGTGCCACTTTCAGGTCTCCTCACACACTGCTGGCTGTGTTCAGTTTTTTGACATAGGGTGCTGGCAGATTACGGGCCTCCCATAGCTGCTGCCAGGCCCCTAATCTGCCATAGGCCCCTATATACCGCCTCCTCCTCATGCTGCTGCCAGGTCCAGAGTCTGTCATGGGTCCCTGTACGGCCTCCCATTGCTGCTGTCTCCATCGCCACACTCTGCCATGTGCCACTTTCAGGTCTCCTCACACTGCTGGTGTGTTAGAATTTTTTGACATAGGGTGCTGGCAGGAACGGGCCTTATACGGGCCTCCCATAGCTGCTGCCAGGCCCCTAATCTGCCATGGGCCCCTATATACCGCCTCCTCATGCTGCTGCCAAGTCCAGAGTCTGTGGGTACATGGGTCCCTGTACGGCCTCCCATTGCTGCTGTCTCCATCGCCACACTCTGCCATGTGCCACTTTCAGGTCTCCTCACACTGCTGGTGTGTTGAATTTTTTTTTGACATAGGGTGTGGCAGATTACGGGCCTCCCATTGCTGCTGCCAGGCCCCTAATCTGCCATGGGCCCCTATATACCGCCTCCTCATGCTGCTGCCAGGTCCAGAGTCTGTCATGGGTCCCTGTACGGCCTCCCATTGCTGCTGTCTCCATCCACACTCTGCCATGTGTGCCACTTTCAGGTCTCCCCTCACACTGCTGGTGTGTAGAATTTTTTGACATAGGGGTGCTGGCAGATTACGGGCCTCCCATAGCTGCTGCCAGGCCCCTAATCTGCCATAGGCGGCCCCTATATACCGCCTCCTCATGCTGCTGCCAGGTCCAGAGTCTGTCATGGGTCCCTGTACGGCCTCCTATTGCTGCTGTCTCCATCGCCACACTCTGCCATGTGCCACTTTCAGGTCTCCTCACACACTGCTGGTGTGTTCAATTTTTTGACATAGGGTGCTGGCAGATTACGGGGCCTCCCATAGCTGCTGCCAGGCCCCTAATCTGCCATAGGCCCCTATATACCGCCTCCTCATGCTGCTGCCAGGTCCAGAGTCTGTCATGGGTCCCTGTACGGCCTCCCATTGCTGCTGTCTCCATCGCCACACTCTGCCATGTGCCACTTTCAGGTCTCCTCACACACTGCTGGTGTGTTGAATTTTTTGACATAGGGTGCTGGCAGATTACGGGCCTCCCATAGCTGCTGCCAGGCCCCTAATCTGCCATAGGCCCCTATATACCGCCTCCTCATGCTGCTGCCAGGTCCAGAGTCTCTCATGGGTCCCTGTAGGCCTCCCAGTGCTGTCTCCATCGCCACACTCTGCCATGTGCCACTTCAGGTCTCCTCACACTGCTGGTGTGTTGTAAATTTTTTGACATAGGGTGCTGGCAGATTATGGGCCTCCCATAGCTGCTGCCAGGCCCCTAATCTGCCATAGGCCCCTATATACCGCCTCCTCATGCTGCTGCCAGGTCCAGAGTCTCTCATGGGTCCCTGTACGGCCTGCTGCTGTCTCCATCGCCACACTCTGCCATGTGCCACTTTCAGGTCTCCTCACACACTGCTGGTGTGTTGAATTTTTTGACATAGGGTGCTGGCAGATTATGGGCCTCCTATAGCTGCTGCCAGGCCCCTAATCTGCCATAGGCCCCTATATACCGCCTCCTCATGCTGCTGCCAGGTCCAGAGTCTCTCATGGGTCCCTGTACGGCCTCCCATTGCTGCTGTCTCCATCGCCACACTCTGCCATGTGCCACTTTCAGGTCTCCTCACACACTGCTGGTGTGTAGAATTTTTTGACATAGGGTGCTGGCAGATTACGGGCCTCCCATAGCTGCTGCCAGGCCCCTAATCTGCCATAGGCCCCCTATATACCGCCTCCTCATGCTGCTGCCAGGTCCAGAGTCTCTCATGGGTCCCTGTACGGGCCTCCCATTGCTGCTGTCTCCATCGCCACACTCTGCCATGTGCCACTTTCAGGTCTCCTCTCACACACTGCTGGTGTGTTGAATTTTTTGACATAGGGGTGCTGGCAGATTACGGGGCTCTCCATAGCTGCTGCCAGGCCCCTAATCTGCCATATAGGCCCCTATATATACCGCCTCCTCATGCTGCTGCCAGGTCCAGAGTCTCTCATGGGTCCCTGTACGGCCTCCCATTGCTGCTGTCTCCATCGCCACACTCTGCCATGTGCACTTTCAGGTCTCCACACACACTGGTGGTGTTGAATTTTTTGACATAGGGTGCTGGCAGATTACGGGGCCTCCCATATGCTGCTGCCAGGCCCCTAATCTGCCATAGGCCCCTATATACCGCGTTCCCTCATGCTGCTGCCAGAGCCATGCTGTTCTGGCCATCCAGTCCATCGCACACACTCTGCCATGTGCCACTTTCAGGTCTCTGACACTGTCCTGGGTGCCCAGGCTTGCCATGGGCCCATATACCGCTCCATGCTCCCCATGGTCTCTCTCATGGGTCATCGCTGTACGGCCTCCACTGCTGCCATGTGCCACTTTCAGGTCTCCTCTCTCACACACACTGCTGTGTGTAGAATTTTTTGACATAGGGTGCTGGCAGATTACGGGCCTCCCATAGCTGCTGCCCAGGCCCCTAATCTGCCATAGGCCCCTATATACCGCTTTCATCCTCCTCATGCTGCTGCCAGGTCCAGAGTCTGAGTCTCTGACTATGGGTCCCTGTACGGCCTCCATCCCATTGCTGCTGTCTCCATCGCCACACTCTGCCATGTGCCACTTTCAGGTCTCCTCACACACTGCTGGTGTGTAGAATTTTTTGACATAGGGTGCTGGCAGATTACGGGCCTCCCATAGCTGCTGCCAGGCCCCTAATCTGCCATAGGGCCCTATATACCGCCTCCTCATGCTGCTGCCAGGTCCAGAGTCTCTCATGGGTCCCTGTACGGCCTCCCATTGCTGCTGCTGTCTCCATCGCCACACTCTGCCATGTGCCACTTTCAGGTCTCCTCACACACACTGCTGGTGTGTAGAATTTTTTGACATAGGGTGCTGGCAGATTACGGGCCTCCCATAGCTGCTGCCAGGCCCCTAATCTGCCATAGGCCCCTATATACCGCCTCCTCATGCTGCTGCCAGGTCCAGAGTCTCTCATGGGTCCCTGTACGGCCTCCCATTGCTGCTGTCTCCATCGCCACACTCTGCCATGTGCCACTTTCAGGTCTCCTCACACACTGCTGGTGTGTTAGAATTTTTTGACATAGGGTGCTGGCAGATTACGGGCCTCCCATAGCTGCTGCCAGGCCCCTAATCTGCCATAGGCCCCTATATACCGCCTCCTCATGCTGCTGCTGCAGGTCCAGAGTCTGTCATGGGTCCCTGTACGGCCTCCCATTGCTGCTGTCTCCATCGCCACACTCTGCCATGTGCCCACTTTCAGGTCTCCTCACACACTGCTGGTGTGTTGAGAATTTTTTGACATAGGGTGCTGGCAGATTACGGGCCTCCCATAGCTGCTGCCAGGCCCCTAATCTGCCATAGGGCCCTATATACCGCCTCCTCATGCTGCTGCCAGGTCCAGAGTCTCCACGGCCTCCCATTGCTGCTGTCTCCATCGCCACACTCTGCCATGTGCCACTTTCAGGTCTCCTCACACACTGCTGGTGTGTTGAATTTTTTGACATAGGGTGCTGGCAGATTATGGGCCTCCTATAGCTGCTGCCAGGCCCCTAATCTGCCATAGGCCCCTATATACCGCCTCCTCATGCTGCTGCCAGGTCCAGAGTCTCTCATGGGTCCCTGTACGGCCTCCCATTGCTGCTGTCTCCATCGCCACACTCTGCCATGTGCCACTTTCAGGTCTCCTCACACACTGCTGGTGTGTAGAATTTTTTGACATAGGGTGCTGGCAGATTACGGGCTCCCATAGCTGCTGCCAGGCCCCTAATCTGCCATAGGCCCCTATATACCGCCTCCTCATGCTGCTGCCAGGTCCAGAGTCTGTCTCATGGGTCCCTGTACGGCCCTCCATTGCTGCTGTGTCTCCATCGCCACACTCTGCCATGTGCCACTTTCAGGTCTCCTCACACACTGCTGGTGTGTGTAGAATTTTTTGACATAGGGTGCTGGCAGATTACGGGCCTCCCATAGCTGCTGCCAGGCCCCTAATCTGCCATAGGCCCCTATATACCGCCTCCTCATGCTGCTGCCAGGTCCAGAGTCTCTCATGGGTCCCTGTACGGCCTCCCATTGCTGCTGTCTCCATCGCCACACTCTGCCATGTGCCACTTTCAGGTCTCCTCACACACTGCTGGTGTGTAGAATTTTTTGACATAGGGTGCTGGCAGATTACGGGCCTCCCATAGCTGCTGCCAGGCCCCTAATCTGCCATAGGCCCCTATATACCGCCTCCTCATGCTGCTGCCAGGTCCAGAGTCTCTCATGGGTCCCTGTACGGCCTCCATTGCTGCTGTCTCCATCGCCACACTCTGCCATGTGCCACTTTCAGGTCTCCTCACACACTGCTGGTGTGTAGAATTTTTTGACATAGGGTGCTGGCAGATTACGGGCCTCCCATAGCTGCTGCCAGGCCCCTAATCTGCCATAGGCCCCTATATATACCGCTCTCCTCATGCTGCTGCCAGGTCCAGAGTCCAGAGTCTCTCATGGGTCCCTGTACGGCCTCCCATTGCTGCTGTCTCCATCGCCACACTCTGCCATGTGCCACTTTCAGGTCTCCTCACACACTGCTGGTGTGTAGAATTTTTTGACATAGGGTGCTGGCAGATTATGGGCCTCCCATAGCTGCTGCCAGGCCCCTAATCTGCCATAGGCCCCTATATACCGCCTCCTCATGCTGCTGCCAGGTCCAGAGTCTCAGTGTCTCCTCCCATTGCCATGTCGCCACTTTGCACTTTCAGGTCTCTCTCACTGCTGGTGTGTTGAATTTTTTGACATAGGGTGCTGGCAGATTATGGGCCTCTCCCATAGCTGCTGCCAGGCCCCTAATCTGCCATAGGCCCCTATATACCGCCTTCTCATGCTGCTGCCAGGTCCAGAGTCTGTCATGGGTCCCTGTACGGCCTCCCATTGCTGCTGTCTCCATCGCCACACTCTGCCATGTGCCACTTTCAGGTCTCCTCACACACTGCTGGTGTGTAGAATTTTTTGACATAGGGTGCTGGCAGATTATGGGCCTCCCATAGCTGCTGCCAGGCCCCTAATCTGCCATAGGCCCCTATATACCGCCTCCTCATGCTGCTGCCAGGTCCAGAGTCTGTCATGGGTCCCTGTACGGCCTCCCATTGCTGCTGTCTCCATCGCCACACTCTGCCATGTGCCACTTTCAGGTCTCCTCACACACTGCTGGTGTGTAGAATTTTTTGACATAGGGTGCTGGCAGATTACGGGCCTCCCATAGCTGCTGCCAGGCCCCTAATCTGCCATAGGCCCCTATATACCGCCTCCTCATGCTGCTGCCAGGTCCAGAGTCTCTCATGGGTCCCTGTACGGCCTCCCATTGCTGCTGTCTCCATCGCCACACTCTGCCATGTGCCACTTTCAGGTCTCCTCACACACTGCTGGTGTGTAGAATTTTTTGACATAGGGTGCTGGCAGATTATGGGCCTCCCATAGCTGCTGCCAGGCCCCTAATCTGCCATAGGCCCCTATATACCGCCTCCTCATGCTGCTGCCAGGTCCAGAGTCTGTCATGGGTCCCTGTACGGCCTCCCATTGCTGCTGTCTCCATCGCCACACTCTGCCATGTGCCACTTTCAGGTCTCCTCACACTGCTGGTGTGTGTTGTGAATTTTTTGACATAGGGTGCTGGCAGATTACGGGCCTCCCATAGCTGCTGCCCAGGCCCCTAATCTGCCATAGGCCCCTATATACCGCCGCTCCTCATGCTGCTGCCAGGTCCAGAGTCTGTCATGGGTCCCTGTACGGCCTCCCATTGCTGCTGTCTCCATCGCCACACTCTGCCATGTGCCACTTTCAGGTCTCCTCACACACTGCTGCTGGTGTGTAGAATTTTTTGACATAGGGTGCTGGCAGATTACGGGCCTCCCATAGCTGCTGCCAGGCCCCTAATCTGCCATAGGCCCCTATATACCGCCTCCTCATGCTGCTGCCAGGTCCAGAGTCTGTCTGGGTCCCTGTACGGCCTCCCATTGCTGCTGTCTCCATCGCCACACTCTGCCATGTGCCACTTTCAGGTCTCCTCACACTGCTGGTGTGTGAATTTTTTGACATAGGGTGCTGGCAGATTATGGGCCTCCTATAGCTGCTGCCAGGCCCCTAATCTGCCATAGGCCCCTATATACCGCTCCTCATGCTGCTGCCAGGTCCAGAGTCTGTCATGGGTCCCTGTACGGCCTCCCATTGCTGCTGTCTCCATCGCCACACTCTGCCATGTGCCACTTTCAGGTCTCCTCACACTGCTGGTGTGTGTTGAATTTTTTGACATAGGGTGCTGGCAGATTACGGGCCTCCCCCATAGCTGCTGCCAGGCCCCTAATCTGCCATGGCCCCCTATACCGCTTCCTCTCATGCTGCTGCCAGGTCCAGAGTCTGTCATGGGTCCCTGTACGGCCTCCCATTGCTGCTGTCTCCATCGCCACACTCTGCCATGTGCCACTTTCAGGTCTCCTCACACACTGCTGGTGTGTTAGAATTTTTTGACATAGGGTGCTGGCAGATTACGGGCCTCCCATAGCTGCTGCCAGGCCCCTAATCTGCCATGGGCCCCTATATACCGCCTCCTCTGCTGCTGCCAGGTCCAGAGTCTGTCATGGGTCCCTGTACGGTCCTCCCATTGTGCTGCTGCCATGTGCCACTTTCCATGTGCCACTTTCAGGTCTCCTCACACTGCTGGTGTGTTGAATTTTTTGACATAGGGTGCTGGCAGATTATGGGCCTCCTATAGCTGCTGCCAGGCCCCTAATCTGCCATAGGCCCTATATATACCGCCTCCTCATGCTGCTGCCAGGTCCAGAGTCTGTCATGGGTCCCTGTACGGCCTCCCATTGCTGCTGTCTCCATCGCCACACTCTGCCATGTGCCACTTTCAGGTCTCCTCACACACTGCTGGTGTGTTGAATTTTTTGACATAGGGTGCTGGCAGGCATTACGGGCCTCCCATAGCTGCTGCCAGGCCCCTAATCTGCCATGGGCCCCTATATACCGCCTCCTCATGCTGCTGCCAGGTCCAGAGTCCTCATGCTGGTCCCTGTACGGCTGCCCATTGCTCCTGTCTCCATCGCCACACTCATGCCATGTGCCACTTTCAGGTCTCCTCACACACTGCTGGTGTGTTGTTGAATTTTTTGACATAGGGTGCTGGCAGATTATGGGGCCTCCTATAGCTGCTGCCAGGCCCCTAATCTGCCAGGGCCCCTATATACCGCCTCCTCATGCTGCTGCCAGGTCCAGAGTCTGTCATGGGTCCCTGTACGGCCTCCCATTGCTGCTGTCTCCATCGCCACACTCTGCCATGTGCCACTTTCAGGTCTCCTCACACACTGCTGGTGTGTGTAGAATTTTTTTGACATAGGGTGCTGGCAGATTATGGGCCTCCCATAGCTGCTGCCAGGCCCCTAATCTGCCATGGGCCCCTATACCGCCCTCCTCATGCTGCTGCCAGGTCCAGAGTCTGTCATGGGTCCCTGTACGGCCTCCCATTGCTGC